GTGGTAGTTTAAGTAGTGTAACAGTGGCAGAGGTGGCAATTCTCCCATGTGCGGGTTATTTGTGTATTGTTCAAGTCACGGTATTGTTTCTCTTTATTCTTTTCTTCCTGACACATTAGACTGAGCTTTACCAACTCTAATAGAAATTAGATCTAGTTTTATCAGGTACGACGGTGACTAGATTGACTTTTATAAAATCTTAGCCTAGATTAAAACTCAATGTTCAACTAACACGGTGCCCAAGACCAAATTTTGCGCACTACACTAGAGGGTCCATTTTGTTCCCGGCTAACGAGGCATCACAAGGATTCCCCTGCATCTAATTTGATGTTGCAAGGAATTACAAACAAATAGTTGTTTGTGTGTGTGTTTGTGTGTGCCAGCAAAGACGTAAACAACAACCAGACCCTATGGCAAAGCCTTGAACTCCGTGTTAATTACACGTGTATACAAGTGCTGTTGTGTAAGCTACTGCCCTAAGCTTCTTGGTAGGAGGGGGACAACGGGGTCTTGGTGATGGTCTGAGAGGAGTTGGAGGTGCCCTTCCCACATTTGGACTGAACCTGATTATCTCCTGTTTCCAAGGCTCTGTATGATCCTCGTGGATTCGCTCTTAAGGAGTGGACTGGTAAAACCAGCGGAAGGCCTCTGTCACATAGCCTTTTTTTATATTATATATATATATATATATATATATATATATATATATATATATATATATATATATATATATATATATATATATATATATATATCGTGCTGAATAGGCAGAACTTGTCATATTGGCTTAAATAGCAACGTTCATCTTGCCATATAGGACAAGTGAAAATTTGTGTATGCAATAATTTCGCCAAAATCATTCTGAACCTAACGAAAAAAAAATTTTTCACTGTGTTTTTTTAGTTTTTAAAATTATTGTAAAAAAATCTAAAATTATTTAGTTGGGTTAGACTAAAAAAAAATTGTTCTTGTTATAAAAAGGTTAGGTAATTTTTTTAAGTTTTTTGGTGCAAAATTTAAATTTTTTAAAACAACTTTAAAAGAAAAAAAATTTTCTTTAAAGTATAAGAGAAAATTTCAAAAAGATCTTTTTTAAAATATTCTTGCTAATTGACCGTTTTTACATTTGGGAAAGACAATTATATATATATATTAAATATTTAATTATATATATTAAATAAATATATATATATTATATATATATATATATATATATATTAGGCTCAGTGTTTTTACACAGAGTTTAAGTTTAATTTAGCGATTGAAGTATTTTTGACGGGTTGGTGAATGGTGTATTCAATTTTAAATTTAAAATGACCCTCTGTAGCGATAGGCCTTAAAACCCCATTAACAAACCTCCCTGTTGTTTACGTGTAAAAAAAAAGAAAAAATGGCATAAGATTTGGGCAGTATATTGAAAAAGTGGTGGAACCAACTTCAGAAAAGCATTTCCTAAAAAAGGCGGAGCAGAAGCACACAGGCCCCTTACATACCTGCTAAAGTTCACGTTTGGAGGAATACTGATGCCAGTATTTCACCAAACCCACCCGCTTCGGTCGTCGTGGAACATTGTCAAGTCCAAATGGGCGGGGAAAAGTAGAAAAGGCCAAAAAGACAAAACGGACGGGGACATTTTTTTTTCATTGCAAGACTTGCTTTGTAAATAAGACACCTTGCAACCTTTTGTATCTTTACATTTTTCCTTTTACTAGTCCCCTCAATAATATTCGAATGAAAAAACCCTGCAGCGCAGGCAAACGTTTGGCAAATTATTATATTTTCTTTATTTTTAGGGAAAGCGACACCGGTTAGGGCCATAACGCATTTGGGGAAATGGGAGGCTTTTGGCTCGACTGACAACTCAAATTTTTTTTAAAACGCTTGGCTATGGACTGTTGTGGTTTTAAAACTATGGCCCTGGACTTTTTAGTGGTTTAAAAAAACGTCATGGCCCAGGGACTGTTGGGGTTTTAAAAAACGTTTTGGCCCTGGCTGTTAGGGGTTTTTAAAAGCATGGCCCATGGAGTTGGGTTTTTAAAAACGTCTGGCCCAGGGAAAGTTAGTGGTTTTAAAAGTCATGGCCCATGGACTGTTAGGGGTTTTTAAAACGTCTTGGCACATGGACTGTTAGGGGGTTTTAAACGTCTTGGCACAGGGATGTTAGGGGTTTTTAAAAAACGTTTGGCACATGGACTATTGATGTTTTAAAGGTTTACAGTAAAGATAGAGGTGTTGTACACGTGTTTGTTCATCAACTGGAAATTGTATACCATTAAATTTTCCGCTTAAAAATCATTCTTTCTTTTCAGTTTCAGATATAGAAAAGTAAAAAAAAAAGGACTCCAGGTGTGGTGAGAGTGGACTGGGGTTGTGATGTTGTCGGTGTGGCTTGCCAAGACGCAAGTGGTGCAGGTCCAAAACAATCAGAAGGTGGTCGGGGACTCTCTTCCCCTTTTTATCTTTTAAAGCTAAACCTACTCATTAAAGGGAAAACGTTTAGCTTGTGAAGCGCTCTTTTCCAGGGAACAAAAAAATCCCTCCACTTTCTCAGATCAAACCCGACACCTCCCATTCCCAACATTTTATGACCCCATATGAGTTTATTAATTCGAGAAGGCTAATAATATATAAAAAAAAAATGTTATTTTTTTTTAATAAAAATTTATATATATATATAATATTATATTATAAAATTTTATTAAAATATAATGTATGTAAATTTTTAATATATATGATATTTTTATAATATATGTTTAATAATTATATATAAAAAAATTTTTTTATATAATATAAAAAATTTGTATTAATATATAAATAATGTAATATATATATATTTATGTATAATAAATTGCTATTATTATATATATATAATTATATATAAATTTTTATATATATAATATAAAAATAAATAAATATATATATATATTTATATTTTGTAATAAATAGCGAAAAAAATATATAATATTAATATATAATATAATTTATAATAAAAAATAAATGTTTTAATATATAATATGTAATATAAATAATATAAAATATATATTTTATATATAATTTAAAATATATTATATTAATTAATTTTTATAAATATATTATTATATAATATATAATAAATTATTATAAAAATAAAGAAAAAAAAAAAAAAAAATAAAATTTTAATAAAAAAAATAAAAAAAAAAAAAAAAAAATTAAATAAAAAAAAAAAAAAAAAAAAAATATAAAAAAAAAATATAAAAAAAAAAAAATAAAAAAAAAAAAAAAAAAAAAAATAACAAATAAAAAAAAAAAAATGAAAAAAGGAAAAAAAAATATAAAAATATAAAAAAAAAAAATTTAAAAAAAATAAAAAAAAAAAAATAAAAAAATTTTTTCATATAAAAAAAAATAAAAAAAAAAACAAAATAAAAAAAAAAATAAAAAAAAAAAAAATAAAAATTTAAAAAAAAAAAAAAATTTTAAAAAAAAAAAAAAAAATAAAAATTTTTTAAAAAAAAAAATAAAAAACAAAATAAAAAAAAAAAAAAATTTTTTTTTAAAAAATAAAATTGTTTAAAAATATATTAAAATAAAAAAATTAAAATTAAAAAAAAAAAAAAGAAAATAAATAAAAATATAAAAATTTTTATAAAAAATAAAAAAAATTTTTATAAAAATTTTAAAAAAAATAAAAAAATTTAAAAAAAAAATATTTTTAAAAAAATATTTAAAAAAAATAAAATAATTTTAAAAGAAAAAAAAAAAAAAAAATTAAAAAAACAATATAAAAAAAAAAAATAAAAAAAAAAAAAAAAAATTAAAAAAAAAAAATTTTTAATAAAAAAAAATAAAAAAAAACCCAAAAAAAAAAAAAAAAATTTTTTATTTTTTTAAATTAATTAAAAATTAAAAATATTTGGGGAAAAGGCAAAAAAAATTTTTTTGGTTAAATAAAAAATTGAATTGGGCAAAAAATTTTTTACCAAAATTTTGAAAAAAAAAAACAACCAACAAAAAAATTAAAAACTTGGGGTTTTGTTTTAGTATTTAAATTACTTTAAAACCAATCCCTTAATAGGGGTTACCTTTAGGTTCCCCCTTTTTAAAAAATAAAAATTTTTGGGAAAAGTTTTTAAAGTTCTTGAAAAACCCTAAATTTTTAACAAAATTTTAAATTAATTAAAAAAAAAATATATTTTTAAATATAAAAAAAATTTTTTAAAAGGGTTTTCTCAGGAAGGTTTCTTGGTGGGTTGGTTTGAGGGGCGCGGAATGGGAAAGGGGGGGGCCAAAATTCCATAAGGGCCAGGGAAAATCCAAAAACCCCCCCCCAGGGCCGTATAATGGGGAAGCGCTTTGAATTTTAATAATATATTTTCAGAAAAAGGATTCTTAAAATTTTAAAAGTTCTTGGGAAGAAAGGGGTTTTAAAATTGGGGCAAAGAAATGGGTTATTAATATTATTAAATAATTATTAAAATAATTATTAAAAAAAATAATATTTTTATTTAAATATTACTTTAAGGCCCCGTGCATCAGTGAAACTTTTGGGCGTTAGTGGTTTTGGGGGGGAAAAGGGGGTTTTTTTCCGGATGGAAAAAGTCGCCAAATTCCTTTTCTTTGAAAGGGCCAGGGGGGAAAAACCTCCAGTTTTTCCCCCCGTTTGGAGCCCCCCGTAGGTTTGGGGGGCAGTGGTGAATCGTCAGGGAAGTTTTTAACAGGGGGAAGGGGTTTTTAGAAAATTTTGGGGGATTTTTTAAGAGGTAAAGGTTCATTCAGAGAAGTAAGGGTTCATTAAGAGATATAAGGGTTCATTAAAAGAGGTAAGGGTTCATTAAAAGAGGTAAGGATTTATTAAGAGATGTAGGGGTTCATTAAAAGAAGAAAAGGTTCACTAAGGTGTGTGTTCGTGTGGATACGTTTTAAGTAATTAAAAAAGACTGTCTAATACTCTTACTCGATATAAATACATTATGATGGTAAAACTACTATTGACAAAGACATGGACGTAGTATCAATACGTCGCATAGCTTCTTTAGATGGAACTAATTAATATATGCATTTCCTTGCTTGTGTTGTTGCTCATATATGGTATATTGCAGCGTGCGGAGCAGTTCGCCGTGGTGATCCTACATCGTGATAACTTCAGCGACAGGATCAACTGGACATCTGGCGATGCAGAGAACGTCATCTGTAATAGCAAGTGGTATGTGGACGAGGAAATGGCGCTCCTCAACCACTATTCATGGTACCGTCATGGTCTGCCCCTCTGGCCACTCCTCAATCAGGCTCTCGCCCCCAAACCTCGTTTGTTTTCCCGCAAGAAGAAACTGGATTGGCCTAACTACGCTATTGCTACTCCTCTGTACCTCGTTTTCCGTGAGATCTCCAACTTCCGCGATCCTCGGATAGCCATTCAGAAGCTGTTTGCTGGAGACTTGGCCGGTCAGCAGAGCGAATTAGATCGCCAGAGCTCATTTGTCCAGTCGGACAAATTCCAGAAAGATGTCATCGATCTATATGAAGCCAAGGAGAGTGATATCACCAACGACGTTGCAGGTTATAACAACTGGCTGATGCCTCTGATCACCCGAAGTCTTCCTCCAATGATCGAGTCCTTTAAGGCGAGACAGAAACGACGAGGGTCAAAACAAAGCGACATTTCCACCTGCCCCGACGAGCTCTATGTTTACTTCCTGCAGAAACCGTGTGCCAGCAGCGCCTCCTGCCTCCTCCTGAACGAGCTGATGTTGATCCTCAGGACTGTGGACTGTTCCGCAGTCACTGACCTTGTGGTGGGCTTTTCTGTGGGTTAGCTGAGGAATTCTGACTAAATATTGTACTTCAAGATAATAATTACCACCATACCTTCAGGTATTTATTAACAACTTTCAACACCTGAACCCCGAAGATTATGGCACACACCTTTAAGATTATAGCACCATCTCACACCACACCTACAAGAATATGACACCATCTCACACCACACCTACAAGAATATGACACCATCTCACACAACACCTACAAGAATATGACACCATCTCACACCACACCTACAAGAATATGACACCATCTCACACCACACCTACAAGAATATGACACCATCTCACACCACACCTACAAGAATATGACACCATCTCACACCACACCTACAAGAATATGACACCATCTCACACCACACCTACAGGAATATGACACCATATCACACCACACCTACAAGAATATGACACCATCTCACACCACACCTACAAGAATATGACACCATCTCACACCACACATACAAGAATATGACACCATCTCACACACCTACAAGAATATGACACCATCTCACACCACACCTACAAGAATATGACACCATCTCACACCACACCTACAAGAATATGACACCATCTCACACCACACCTACAAGAATATGACACCATCTCACACCACACCTATAAGAATATGACACCATCTCACACCACACCTACAAGAATATGACACCATCTCACACCACACCTACAAGAATATGACACCATCTCACACCACACCTTCAAGAATATGACACCATCTCACACCACACCTACAAGAATATGACACCATCTCACACCACACCTACAAGAATATGACACCATCTCACACCACACCTACAAGAATATGACACCATCTCACACCACACTACAAGAATATGACACCATCTCACACCAAACCTTCAAGAATATGACACCATCTCACACCACACATACAAGAATGACACCATCTCACACCACACCTACAAGAATATGACACCATCTCACACCACACCTACAAGAATATGACACCATCTCACACCACACCTTCAAGAATATGACACCATCTCACACCACACCTACAAGAATATGACACCATCTCACATAAGAACATAATAAAGGAGGAACACTGCAGCAGGCCTGTTGGCCCATACTAGGCAGGTCCTTCACAATCCATTCCACTAACAAAATATTTTCCCAACCCAATTTTCAACGCTACCCAGCAATAAGCTTTGGTAATTCTATTTATTCTTGTGTAAGTCCCGCTCAAATCTAACCCCTCTCATCATGTATTGATCACCTCAATTTGATACTAACCAAGGTTTTAGCTTCAATAACCCTACTAGGCAGACTGTTCCACTCTTCAACTACCCTATTTCCAAACCAATACTTTCCTATATCCTTTCTAAATCTAAACTTGTCTAATTTGAATCCCTTATTGCGGATTCTCTCTTGGAGAGATATCCTCAAGACCTTATTTATATCCCCTATGTTAATACCCATCTTCCACTTACACACTTCCATCATGTCTCCCCACATTCTTCAATATAACACCATCTCACACCACACCTACAAGAATATGACACCATCTCACACCACACCTTCAAGAATATGACACCATCTCACACCACACCTTCAAGAATATGACACCATCTCACACCACAACTTCAAGAATATGACACCATCTCACACCACACCTTCAAGAATATGACACCATCTCACACCACACCTTCAAGATTATGACACCAGCGCACACACGCACTACTCATTGAAGTAATGAGTCGTAAATAATAATAAACTAAGACATCACCACACCTGCAGCCTTACAATATTTACAGGTTGTAAATTACAGGTGTTTCAGGGGTACATTTGTTATCACAGGTAAAAGCAAATACTAACGCCATATCACTAACGACTCAGATGACACTGAGGTAACGTAACTAACGTATGAAAGCATCAACATTTATTTTACTTACATAAATAGGGCAGAACCATTTATAAAGAACAAAATGGCACAATACCGTGACTGGAACAATAAACAAATAACCCGCACACAGGTGAGAAAGGCTGATGACGACTTTTTGGTCCGACTTACACCATTTTTAACTGGACCTTTTCAGGGTTTCATTCAGTTACCAGAGTATTTTGCTCTAGTCTTTTCTCTCTTGATTAATTATGAAATTTCCTTGAATTGTTTATAAGCTAAGAGTTGTTAAGACTCCTCTGAGTCAGCTCCCTCATATTTCTCTCTCTCTCTTTCTTTCTCTCTCTCTCTCTCTCTCTCTCTCTCTCTCTCTCTCTCCCCTCTCTCTCTCTCTCCTCTCTCTCTCTCTCTCTCCTCTCTCTCTCTCTCTCTCTCTCTCTCTCCTCTCTCTCTCTCTCTCTCTCTCTCTCTCTCTCTCTCTCTCTCTCTCTCTCTCTCTCTCTCTCTCTCTCTCTCATTTAGTGTTAAAGTTCCCCATGCAGTTATATTCAGATGTATTATGCTTAGCACTGCCTAATCATTAATAAGATAAGTTTTTATTCGGATTTTTAACACCGAGGGTTAAAAATGGCATTGATAATATCAGTTGTGTCAGTGATACTAGCGACAATGCCAATGCTATTATCAGTAGTATCAATGCTATTATCAGTAATATCAATGCTATTATCAGTAGTGCTGTTAATAATAATAATACCTATATTACGAGAGGTAAAATATGCAACTTATTTTCTATTAATTAATATTATTTTTCCCCGTATGTTATAGTTCCGTGTTATATCGTTTATCTATGGGATAAATCCTGTTTACAATACAGTAGTGTATTATTTTAGGTTAAAGAGATAGGAAAATAAAATGTTGAAATAAAAGATAATATTACTTGTTTTCTTTATCCAATTGTTACACACAAAAAAAAAACACGAAAATGTTTGTCACTGTTCACCATACCACACGACCTATATAGTGATTAATAATAATAATAATAATAATAATAATAATAATAATAATAATAATAATATCTTCATTTCTACATGTACAAGGTATACAGACCATAGCTGACATCAATGACATACTATTATATAGAAAACCGCTTGTTGTGCAGAGCATTTCGGGTAAATTAGGTCAGTTTTGTCCCAGGATGCGACCCACACCAGTCCACTAACACCCAGGTACCCATTTTACTGATGGGTGAACATAGACAACAGGTGTAAGGAAACACGTCCAATGTTTCCGCCCCTTCGCCGGGAATCGAACCCGGATCCTCATCGTGTGAAGGGTACGTGTGGGGCATCGTGGCCCCGATGCCCCACACTTTCCCTCCCACATAACCCTCTTTTCCTGTACCATCCCTCCTTGACTAGTAAGAGATGTGGCTAGTTGGTTAAGGCTTCATATCATTATTCACCACCAGTCAAGAATACTTTAATCCTTAATAACAGATTAAAATAAACTAAGTGTGTATACACTGAGAGAATTCATCTCTCGGTTATTATATTTTCGGATATTGTTACACAGAAGAATTGTAGTTGTGTAGCCACATTAAGAGAAGAGTATAAACATGCTATAGCTATTCTTGTCAAGGCTCCAGGTCTCCAGGTGTGTCCTCCGTCTCCAGGTGTGCTTCCGTCTCCAGGTGTGTCCTCCGTCTCCGGGTGTGTCCTCCGTCTCCAGGTGTGTCATCCGTCTCCAGGTGTATCCTCCGTCTCCAGGTGTGTCATCCGTCTCCAGGTGTGTCATCCGTCTCCAGGTGTGTCATCTGTCTGCAGGTGTGTCATCCGTCTCCAGGTGTGTCATCCATCTCCAGGTGTGTCATCCGTCTCCAGGTATGTCATCTGTCTCCAGGTGTGTCATCCGTCTCCAGGTGTGTCATCCGTCTCCAGGTGTGTCATCCGTCTCCAGGTGTGTCATCCGTCTCCAGGTATGTCATCCATCTCCAGGTGCGTCATACGTCTCCAGGTGTGTCATCCGTCTCCAGGTGTGTCATCCGTCTCCAGGTGTATCATACGTCTCCAGGTGTATCATCCGTCTCCAGGTGTGTCCTTTATCTGCAGGTGTCTTACAGAAAAAGCCTCTATGATCGACCAAATTTTCAACTCGGGTGTACTACCGCAACTAAGGCAAGATAAATGCAAGTATTCACGTGTTCAGATTCCCTGTGATCGATGTTACACAACCCATTTCCGAATTCCATTTCCACACTTAACATCACTCCAAGATTCTTGGAATGGGTCTACTGACTTTCAAAAGCTTCTTCTGTTTGGCTTCAATCATTTAACATTGATGTATGTTGCTTAGACATTGAAGGAGAGAGTAATTAAAGTGTGTAGTTGCACATTTGACATTTTTGTCAACATTGCACGGTAAAATATACGTGAGTATATATCTCTTTGAAGCGGCGTAGTACTCATCTAATTGTGCTACCATAATTGCGATTCTCAGCTCTTGGACCCGCTTCTCTTCTGGCCGCTACTCTTTTTACTTTCCAGGGTGCGTGAACTCTGTCATACCTACACCTCAAGGGAGGTTCCTTGACACTGGTGAGGGGCTCTTGATCTAGGGAATTGGATCTGTGCTCCAGTTCCCTGAATTGAGCTTGAATACCTTCCATCCCCCCCACATGCGCTGTATAATCCTACGGGTTTAGCGCTCCCCCATAATTATAATAATTAAGTCTGTCAAACCTATTCTTAAATCTCTGTATGAATGGACCTGAGATAAGATGTACAATAATGTCTCCATACCATACTAAAAGCTTCTTTTAAGTATATAGGAAACTGCAAGAACAAACTGACTTTCGAGAAAGACACTGCAAATGATTGAATCAAGCCGGATTAGAAGCTCAGTAGTAGAATAGTGCACAAATAACCCGCACATAGAAAAGAGGAGCTTACGACGATGTTTCGGTCCGACTTGGTCCAAGTCGGACCGAAACGTCGTCGCAAGCTCCTGTCTTCTATGTGTGGGTTATTTATGCATCGTTCCAGTCACGGTATTGTGCCTTTTTTTGTTATTTAGTAGAATAGTGTCTTCTGTATCCAAACTGATGTGAGGATATTCAGTTCTCTCCAAGTTCCACACTAGTCTATTAATTAAACATTCTTCTAATTTACAAATGAAACTAATAAGAACTCGGGGGTCTATACTGGGAGGGATCCTGGCCCAACATATCTGGTTTTCAAAAATTAAAGACTATCATAGACTTCAACTGTATGAGCACCACTCCAGAGAGTGACCCCTCAAGGGAGGTTCCTTGACGCTGGTGAGGGGCTCTTGATCTATGGAATTGGATCTGTGCTTCAGTTCCCTGAATTGAGCCTGAATACCTTCGACAAGTGTGACCATGGTGTAATAGCACA